ACTAACATATACTCAATCAATTCGGTTTCCAATTTCAATCAGTCAGTAATCGGTAAACAGTATGAGGGTTGTTACACGACCTGCCCCAACTCCACTGCCCACTTCAAAATTCGTCCAAAGAAATTTGCCCTCTTAAATAAGGCTTTTAAGGGAAAGGCTATTTAGACAATTACGGTGTGGGCATGAAAGTAGTGTGACAATTTTCTTGAGGCCGTCATCAATGGTAAGGCCAACTTTTCCAATGGCAGGTATCTTGTTTCGGCGCCCAGCATGATCTTGCTCAAATAAAAGATAGACAAGTGTTGTGTTCCTTCAATTCTCACCAACACTGTGCTTACTACATGCTGGGATACTGCTAAGTACAAAAAGAGCTCCTCTCTTGGTGTTAGAGTCACCAACAATGGAGGAGAGGTCATGTAGTCTTTCAAGTTTTTCAGGGCGTGGTTGCACTCATCATCTCACTCAAACTTGGCCTTTAGTGCCTAGAAGAAAGGTCAACACCTATCTGACGACCGACTTATAAATCGGTTTAGTACGGCTGCTAGGCCAGTGAGATGTTGTACCTCCTTGACTGTGTTGGGCCTCTCCAGATCTTGGATGGCTTTGATCTGAGAGGGATCGGTTTCTATACCCTAGTTGGTCACTAGAAAGCCCAGGAATTTGCCTGACCCTATGCCAAATGCGCATTTAGATGCGTTCAAGCGCAACTTGTGGGACTTCAAAATTTGGAACATTTCATCTAGGTCCTGGAGATGGTCCCGCTCATCCCTGCTTTTGACCACCATATCATCTATGTAAGCTTCCATCGTTCTGCCTAACAATGGTGCAAACATTTTGGTGACCATCCGTTGGAATGTAGCCCCTGCATTTTTTAGGCGATGTGACCTCTTGATCCGGTTCATACATAGCGATTTGATGGTAACCACGATACGCATCAAGGAAGCTAAGTCGGTTATGCCCTACTGTCAGGTCCACCAGTTGGTTTATCCGTGGTAGGGGAAAGCTATCCTTTGGGCATGTTTTGTTAACTGTTTTATAGTCTACACAAACACGCCATGTCCCGTTCTTTTTTGGCACTACTACAGTGTTGGAGATCCACCTGGGATAGTGTACTTCTCGGATTACTCCTGCCTCCAGCAAGTTTTTCATTTCCTCCACCACTATCTCTACGTGGTGGAGTACCGATCGACGTGTTCGTTGTATAATTGGTTTGGTAGTTGGATGGACACTAAGTTGATGGTAGATGAAATTAGGGTCAATGCCAGGCATGTCGTACGGCGTCCAGGCGAACACTTCGATGTTAGAGGTCAAAAATTCCACGGCCTCTATTCTCTCGGTGCTGGACAGAGACGGGCTGAGCAAAAAGAACTTTTCTGGGTTCTTTTCATCTATCTTTACCTCTACCAAGTCTTCCACTGCCTTCTGTTCAGCTGCTTTGCCGACATCTGCAAACAGTTCATTGTTTTTTGGTTCCTCTGTCATTTGTACAAACCCTTTTGTAGCCTGGATGTCGTTTACTGTGACGAAGCACTGTTTTGAGATGGTTTGGTCTCTTAAGACTTCTTCAATCTCTTTGGTTCCGTTGGGGAACCGTAATGCCTGATGGTAGGTTGATGCCACCGATCACATGGCGTGCAACCATGCTCTTCCCAAGATTATGTTGCAGGTGGCAGGGACCTTTAATACCCAAAATTCCACCTGTTTTGTCATTGTTCCTATCTTAACTGGCAAAATTATCTTACTTACTGGCCATTTTGGCATTGAGTTGAAGCCGAGGATGGGAGATGTTGAGGGCGCCAAGTCTTCGTTCTCCAATTTTAGTTGCCTGAAGGTCTTGTAGTACATTATCTCGCATGAGCTCCCTTAGTCAATCAGAATCCGCTTGATGTCAAAATTCTTGACGAGCAGAGTGACTACCAGCGCGTCATTGTGAGGGCAATGTTACCTTGCTAGATCCCTGTCAGAAAAGGGGATGATGTTCGTTGCCTCCGTTTTTTCCCCTTTTGACAGTAGGTTGTGCACTTAGTACCTCCCTTAAGTGCTCAACCTTTTTTATCATCCCTCTGAGCTCACATACCCGCTCAGGTTTGACGATCCCATGTATCACGTTGATTACGCCTTGGGGTGGACCGTCGATCGGCATCCTACTCGGCCTGTTGCGATCCTTGGGGGCTGGTTGTGTTCCCCCCTCTATATACTGGTCCAGGTGACCAGCGGCCACTAAATCCTCCAGATGTTGCCTCAATTGTGTACAATTTTCAATTCGGTGCCCTTTTTTATCATGGAAGGTGAAACGGTACCTCTCATCGTAGCCCCTTTGTGCTTCTCCCAACTTGGCCGACCACTGAATAAAGGGTTCGTCGCGTATCCCGTTAAGAATCTGGTAGATAGGTTTGTTGAATATCGTGGTAATGGTAGTGCAGACTCTCAACTTCCTTGTTTGGGGCTCCTCTCTGTTGACTCGTCTGCCTTGCCCATTCTTGGTCGGTTGTTCTACCGTGTTGACTTTTACTGCAGTCTTTCTATCCGACACCGTTGTTGTGCCAGATTTTGCTTTAGCGCGGGCGCTATCCTCCTCTACCCGGATGTGCTAATATACTCTTTCCATTAGGGCCTTCATTGTAAGAGGTGGTATCATCGTCATTGAATCCCTCAACTTGTTACATGTCGGTAAACCCCATTTTGTATTGTGCGATGGCGAGGTTTGTGGGGCGATCGCCAATCTGATTAAAAGTCTCCCAATATCGACTATTGTAAAACTTAAACGTTTCCTTCTCGCCCATGTCAATGGAGAGTAGCTGGTCTATCTCCATTGGCGTCTAGGTATTTGTTCTAAATCTGGTCACAAATGCCTCCGCTAGTTGCGCCCATGAAGCTATGCTACCTTTGGGCAACCTTTCAAACCATGTTAAAACTAGGTCGCCAAGGTTGGAAGGAAACATGATACACATTAAGGCCTTGTTTCGCCAATATACGGCCATAACTTGGCGAAAGTGGCTTAGGTGCATGTAGGGGTCTGACTACTTCTCATAAGTAGTGAACTTGGGCTGGTGGAAGCCTGAGGGTAACGGTGTGTTCTCTATTGCTGGAACGAACGGCGAGCTCTGCAACCTCGCTAATACTTTGTCAGCGGGTTCATAGGCAAGGCGTGGCTCTGGCTTTCCAACCTCAACACTCCCATGCGTCCTAGGTGCCAATCGTTGTAGTGCAGAGACTCTACGGGGGTCTCACGCCAAAGTGTCTTGTCTTCTTCGAGCCCTTTCCTCAAGTACTGTCCATAAGTCCGCCGACCTAGGCAACTCCGTGTGCCTAGACGTCATTTGGTGCGAGTGCGAGGGCCTATAACTGCTTCCTTCCGTGTAGGACCTTTCAGTTCTCGTTCTCTCAGACCTGGAGTAATGAGTCCTGTAAGTCCTTGATTGTGTATCGCCTGTCCTGAGGCCCCTACTTTTAGCTTGTGACGGTGTGACTTGTCTGTCACGATCTTCTGAGTGGTAAGAGAGTGTGTGGCCTCTGCGCCCCTCTTCCGTTGCCACCCCTTTGCCCTTTATTTGGCGCTTCATTGTCTCTATATCTGCCACCATTTTTTGTATCAACTCATCTTGCTCCCTTACACGATCCTCCAGAATCTGAGGATCCAACCTTTACCTCTGTCTGTTAGGGCTCTGAGAGCGACGAGGGCTTGAGCCCCATCTCTCTCGTGTGTCTCTCATCGGGTTCCATTGTTGGGGGTCTAATTTTGCCATAGGTGGTACAAAAGGTAATCCTTCACATTTCCCACCTCCCTCCGAGGTCTGTCCATCAATGGCAGAATGTGGTAAGTCTTCGTTGTGCGCCATTGATCTCAATTAAAGAGGAAGCTTGATCAACAGGTTTTGTTCTTTGTGTGTTTTTCCCCCATCTCTCACATGGTCATGGGATCGATTCCCACAGATGGCGCCAATTGTCACTACAAGAAATAACACATTTGCCGACCAAAAAATTGGTCGATAAAAGCTCATTTTTAGTCGGCAAAAGTTATCCGCGACCAATTTTTTTGGTTGCTACTTTGGTCGCCAATTGAGAGTCGGCAAAGTAATTTGCGACCAAAATTTTTGTTGGTCAGGAAAAGTTGGATTTGCCGACTAAATTTTTGGTCGCTAAATATATCATTATTGCAACTAATCCATTTTGTCGGTAAAATACTTTGGTTGCGAAAAGTGATATTTTCCCAACCAAATATCTTAGTCGCCAATTGTCACATTCCATGACCAAACAAATTAGTCGCCAAAAGTCGAGGAATCGCCGACTAACAGTTTAGTCGCCAAAAGGTAAGGAATTGCCAACCAATGATTTTAGTCGCAAAAGTGTAGAATTTACCGACCAATATTTTAGTCGCCAAATCTCTCTTTTTTTTCTTTTTTTCTTTTTTAGAACAATCAATTTTTGTTTATAAACATTTAATCAAATATCGAACAAAATTCATTTAACCCAACCACAATTAAGGAACAATAACATTTAAAAAAGAAACTTCAGAGGATTCATGCATATACGGTGGTAATTTTAAAAAAGAAACTTCAGAGGATTTAAAAAAGAAACATTCAATCCTATCCTCTCTGTGATTTCACATTATATATGGTGTTGAGATGATATTGGGTTTGTTAACAATATTTTCAGAGGATTCATGCATATACGGTGGTAATTTTAAAAAAGAAACTTCAGAGGATTTAAAAAAGAAACATTCAATCCTATCCTCTGTGTGATTTCACATTATATATGGTGTTGAGATGATATTGGGTTTGTTAACAATATTTTCAGAGGATTCATGCATATACGGTGGTAATTTTAAAAAAGAAACTTCAGAGGATTTAAAAAAGAAACATTCATTTTGGCTCTTTTAGAGTTCTTCTGATATTTTGAATGGGTGGTTTCCATTGTTTTCCTGTATGTGTCTTTATGTTAATTTTTATGTGTCATCTTTGTTGGGGGACTTATTTTCTTCTTTTGATTGCATTTGAATAGAAATGACCTTTGGGCACTTGGCTGCACTGTGTACCAGATGCTTTCAGGCACTTCTCCCTTTAAAGATGCTAGTGAGTGGCTCATTTTGCAAATTATTTTTCAGAAGAAGCTAGAGATCTCATTGACCAATTATTGGTAATCTTATTACTCATCAATTGCTTCTCTTTCAGTTTAAGCAAGAAGCTAGATCAAGAGATTCCTTTGAAAAATTCAAAATCCAATCGGTCAAAATGTTAATCTTCACTTGTTCTTCATCTTTAATGCAAGATCTATGTTGTATTCTTGGTGAAAAATAAATGAAATCAAGGTTTAGAGATCTAGGATTTTGGGTATGGAGGAGAGGAAAAGAAGAGAGGAAGAAAGAATGAAAAGTTTGAGCCAAAAAGGAAAACAAGAATGCAAGGGAACAAATGGCATTAGCATTAATATTAGATACAAGATAAGCAAATCTAGAATGTAATTTATCTTTATAATTGTCTTATTTTTCCAATTTTATGGAAAAAGTAATGCCCATGTAGGATATATAGGTTCCCCCAACAATATGCCTATCATCAATTCTATCTATACCTGTCTCCAGAAAGTTCATGACTTAGAGATTTCATATATGTATATGTACATATACATATATAGGAGAGAGAATTGATGAACTTTCTGGAGACAGGTATAGATAGAATTAATGATAGGCATATTGTTGGGGGAACCTATATATCCTACATGGGCATTACTTTTTCCATAAAATTGGAAAAATAAGACAATTATAAAGATAAATTACATTCTGGATTTACTTATCTTGTATCCAATATTAATGCTAATGCCAATTGTTGCCTTGCATTCTTGTTGGCATCATTGGTTCCTATCCAAACTGATTAAGTTCATAAAAGTTTTTTGATTTTCAGTTCAATTTTATGCAGAGCCATAATGCTAACAGCACATTGTATTCTTATAATTACTTAGATGGCTTCATTCTTCAATGTATAAGACCTCAGATGGCTCCAAGGAAATTATCTGAGTGAGCTGCAATTGTGCCTTGGCATCTGTGCTTGCTTCACAAATGTTGTTGTGGGCCAACTACTTATTAATAGTATGAGGTACGTAAGGAGTTTCAATATCTGAAAATCATGGTATAAGTTTGTTAAAATAAGATCATTACATGTTTAGAATCTTATCTCTAACAAAGGCAAAACCAAGATTTGCATTGCTTTGTAATTAAAGTCCTTGCATATTTATTCTTATTTGAATAGCTAGATTATTCAGCATATCTCTATCAAAAAGAGAATGACCATTTTTTTTTTTAATTTAGAATTGGATGATTCAGGTATATAATCATCATTTTGGTGAAGATGATTGATGACTTGATGAAGCTGAAGAGAGCTGTGGATGAAGTTATTTTTACAGAATTTGGAGAGCACATTGAATATTATTATTTTTATGATTTTGTATTGTCATATTGTATTTAAAGGGGTTTTATTTATTTATTTATTTATTTTATGGAAAATTGAAAAATGAATGCTCATTCACATTATGGTATATATTTTGAGAATGGTGATGGATGATATAGGTTTGGTTTGAACAAAAAGTCAAAAGATCATTAATTATGATTTTTCATTTTTTTTTTTAAAAAATGAAAGAAATGGTGGCGTTTTTCTTAAAAACGTCGCCAAATGTCGTCATTATGACGTCAGAGATAACTCCTTTAACGTGCATAGGTAACGGCTGTAAAGAATTAGCGGCGTTTTATAAAACGTCGTCTAAAGTCTTTAGTGGCGTTTTTAAAACGTCACAAAGATACAACGACGGCCGCATCATCGACGAATTTTATAAACGTCGTTTTATCTTTTTGCGGCGTTTTTCTAGCCTATAGCTAATTCCCGATTTTCTTGCAGTGCGTTTTCTGCATTTTGTTTTTGTTTTAGAATGAATTGTCTGTTATAGTCTGGCCGCTTAGTGTTAGCTTTACTTACTAATGGAGTTCTTCAGGTTTCATTTGACCATACACTTAACTTGCAAGGAAATGACATCTTTACAAGGTGAAATATGATTCGAATGAGAGACATTTGCCTACTACTGTACAGAAAATTAAGTCCAAAGGAACACATTCACACAAACACACAAAATGCCTAGGCCAAACGAGACATTGTTCACTTGAAATAACAATCATGTAACATATATCAATATAATAAGAATGGCAGCACTGGATTTGGTATTTGTGATGTACGGATTTAAAAGAAAAATTATTTTGAGCTTAAGTATGATGATTAAAAAACTTTAAACCAATGTCATTTGATAGTGATTAACTTAAAATTGTTTTTGTTGCTGATCAAAAAAAAAATAAAGTGATTAAATCATCGGAGGCCAAGGATACAAGCTTACAAGAATTACAAATCACAATAACACAACTATACTGTAAATAAACAATTAAAAGAAAATAATAGATAAGTAATAATATTTTCAAATGTTTCATCAATGATGAACTCACTTGAAGGAGAGGCCAATAGATTGTTCCCCATCTTCAAAAACACGTTTGAATGAGTCTTTAAAAACAAAATGATCGAAACTTTCTGCTAGAACAACAAGGCCACCAGTTCTTTCAATAGCAATCTTCATCTTTGCAACTCCAACCTAAAAACTTATAGTAGATTAGATCATAGCATGACAATGCACACATCTACAGCGAAGTAAAGGCAACAACAATTAGTATCTTTATGTCAAGAATTCGGCAAACATTCTTTGAGTTCTAAATGGGTTACCCCAGCAAAAATATGCCACAAATTACCCACACAAGATAGCAAGGAATGTATCACATGCAACAAAAGCCTTTCATCTCACATTGATCATTTTGCATTTTGTTCCTCCAATAGTTTTATTCCTCAATGATCCAAAAAGTCCAAGGCAGATACATCACATGTAACGAATCAATTATACATCAACTTTAAACCTTGTAAAGTTTTGGCTTAGTTGCATTTGTCTTCTAATTGGGTTACACAGCTTCCTAATCGGATATCATGATAGTACTAATAGCTATCTTGCAAATGCCTCAAGTTTATCAAAACAAAACCTGAAACTCACTACGACCAATAAGAGACGACAAGAAAACAAATAGTTTCATTTATCAAATGGTTTGTAACAATTGAGAGAAAATTTAAAATTCTAAATGACAACAATTATAGACCGCTAATTTTGAATTTTAATATAAACATTAGATAAATGATAAAATTGAAAGAAAAACCAAACTATACTAACAAAAATACTATTAGAAGAGGAATAGGGTGTTAAATAAGTTGGGCTGTTTTTACCTTGGCATGGTGATCTTGAAAACCAGCAATTTCCATGGCTTCAACATCAAATGAATCAACCCTCTTGAGCTTCTTGACTAACCTTCTCATGACAGATCCATACCCATCTCTAGATTCTCTACTCTCATTTTCATCAAGCAGTGACCATGGAGGGGACACAGAGTCCACTTAACTGCCATCAACCCACTGGGCAGAGGCAGATCCATCCCCACCACCAGTTCTGCCCACCAACCTGACACTGATCTCCTCAATCCTCTCTTCTTCCATAGCCCCCAAATTCTACAACCTTAGAAACAATCAATCAAGAAATGAACCCAAATGGAATCAATCGACCATGTGTCTAGCACAACCCACTAAACCCTTCGCTCTCAGCAATAGTCAATCAAGAAATGGACCAACTATAATCAATCCATCATGTTCTGGCAAAACCCATAAAACCCTTCATTCTCAATAATAATCAATCAAGAAATTGACCAAAAATGGAATCAATTCATCATGATCCCGCAAAACTCACAAAACCCTACACTCTAAGCAATGATCAATAAAAAATGGGCCAAAAATGCAATCAATCCATCATGTTCTGGAGAACGAAAAAGATGACAAACCTCTTCAAAATTTCCCCCTCCACGTTTCAAATTTCCCTCCCAAACTTTTGGCGACCAAAAGAGCAGATTAGTCGTAGAAAAGGTACCTTCGCCGACAAACCTTTTTAGTCGCCAAATCTCAATCAACGGCGACTAAAATATTAGTCGCTAAAAGTACTAATTTGGCGACTAAATTTTTTTTGGTTGCTGAAAATAAATTTTTGGCGACCAAATTTTTTGTCGCCAAAGAAAAAAAAAATTTTATTTTCCATTCGTCGACTAAATTGTTTTAGTAGCCAAAACTCAATATACGGCAGCTAAAATATTTTTGGTCGGGGAAAATAAGTTTTTGGCGACTAAAATTTTGGTTGCCAATTCCACAACCAACTTGTTTTTTATCTTTCGCGACAAACTTATATTTTGGTCGCCAAAATGTGACCTTCCGTGACCAAATTTGTAGTTGGTCACCAAAAGCATACTACTTTCTGCGTCCAACTCACTTTTTGGTCGCCAAAATATGACCTTCTGCGACCAACTCATATTTGGTTGCCAAAAATAATGATCATTCGCGACTAATTAATATTTAGTCGCCAAAAGGTAACTTTTAGCTACCAACGTTTATATTGGTCGCGGAAAGTGGTCGCTAAAAGTGCAGATTCTTGTAGTGTGTACGAGCACGAAATAATCTTCTTGTATAATCCTGTTGATCAAGTTTGCACTTCTCCAAACGTCGTCACTTTAATGCTTGAAAACACAAACGTGAATTAGCCGGTGAGTGTGTGCCAGAAACTTCTCCGATGCCTAAGTCAGCAAATAGACAATAGACACAAAAGCTCTGGGTATTTGAGAATCAGAATTGTGATACTTCTACATAGGTCCTGTCATGAGCTTTCATAGATTCCACTTGGTACAATCCTAATAGGACTCTAATTCTCCAATGTAGAGTCCTCCTAGGAATCACATTACTAAAAGATAATGCCTATCCTAAAACACTCTCCTCATTGCAAGCCAAGTGAGATGGCACAAATCCCTTTACTTCGGCTTGGTAGTAGCTCAATCGAGCTAGGAAGGCCTTGCCCCACGCTAGATAGAACTAGCAGTCCTTGACCGAGATAACAACTTCTAGAAGCTTGCACCATTGCACCCCGGTCTTGCTTTGATATAACCACCTCGGTTCAAGCCTTGGGCCAAATACCCGTCCAGTCCACGACCGAGCTCAATCCACTCTTATTTACGCCCACAGCGCAGCCCAATGGCCAAAAGTGAACCTAGCTCGGTCCATGCAATAAATGGCCTTAGCTCGGCCTTATTTAGACATAAATTGCCCTCTCAATAATATAATTTAGTGGTATATTTTAGTGGTATGTTTTGATCTTTGACACACATACTGAGTGCAAATTCACTAGTCCCATTTTCTTTTTGTTTTTTAGATAGTAAAATCACTAGTCTCATGGCACACATAATGTGTGCAAATAATTAATCATGTGTCGGTAATGACCACAGAATATGTGAAAGGCTTACACTTAAAGTTTGGAATTTTTAAAAACAGTTTTATGAATTTTTAATCAGTAATTTTTGTTATTAGTGATTTTTTTAACATTTTAACTGATTTTTTTTTCTTTTGTTTCATTTAATTTAGATACACTTAAAATGTATGAAATTTGTGCAATTTTTTTGGATAAATTACACTTATACCCCTTGAGATTTGGGTTTGATACATATCACCCCCTGACGTTTGGAAAATTACACTAACCCCCATTTCATTGTAATTATTTAGATGGAATGAAGACATTGAACTCATGCACTTTTTCTTTTTTTTGCTTTGCTTTACTTTCTCTTTTTTTCCCCTCTTTCCTTTACTTTTTTTAAAATTTAATTTCCTCTGCTTTTCTACTATGAATTGTTACATTTTATATAAGCAGGGAGGTTTATGAAATGAGACTATTAACCACAGGGGTGGGAATGTAATTTCTAAAACGTCAGGGGTGGGTAGTAATTGGACCAAACCTCAAGGGGTGTCAATGTAATTTACCCTTTTTTTTATATAAAAATTCATTGAATACAAAAAAAAAAAAAAAATCAATACATTTTCATTTTTTGTTGTACTCAGTGAATTTTTTTAAAAAAAGTTGTACAAATTTTATACTTTTTAAGTATATTTAAATCAATTGAATTTAAAAACTAAAAAAATTGATTAAAATATATTTAAAAATTCACTAAAAATAAAAAATAAAAAATGGATTGAAAACTCAGAAAACTATTTTTGAAAATTTCAAAAAAATATATATATGTAATTCAAATTTAACACTTTGTATAATTTAGATTTATAATTTTTTCTTTAAAATAATGTGATTTAAATTCATATTGAGGTTAATTCTGAACTTTTGTGATGATAGTTAAGAAAGTATGTACCATAAACAAAGGTGGAGTTAGGAGCATTTATGATTGGTCACAAAATTTTAAATTTTTTATAAATATTTTGCAATGTGATTTGTTATGCAGCGTTGATACAGACCCCCAGTTGGGGGTGACCCCCACCACCGCTACATACACGTGAGGGTCAAAGAGAGGAGGACAAAAAAATAAAATAAATAAAAAAATGAACCAATCAGTATTCACTGGAGGTAGTGGGGGTCTCACTCATTTTTGTTTGTTATGAAGCTTTTGTGACATTTTTATTAGGGTAAATTATATTTTATTCCTTTTATGTTTGACTATTTTTTCATTTTGACTTCTAAAAGTTTTGTTTTTTTTGTTTTTAAACTTTGCCCCTCCACGTTTTAAGTTTTTTTCAATTTATTCTTAAAATTAAAAATTAAATAAAAAATAACAGATTAGCAGTCACCTGACATAAAAATATTTTATTATATATAACTCACACTTCTAATAGAAACTTAAATTTCAACATAATAATATATTTTTTATATTATGTAACAGTTATCATATCATTTTCTATCTAATTTTTGACACAAGTTAGTTTTGGAAATAAACTGAAAAAAAAAAACTTAAAACACAAAAGAACGAAGTGAGAAAAAATAAATTTTAAAAGTTAAAATGAGAAAGTGACAAAATATAAAGAGGACAAAGTGTAATTTATTCTTTTTATTATAACCCTTGAACCGCACCGCTAAGGCAAATTCGTTATTATTTGTCAATCGAACCGCCGGTTTTTGGTAAAAAAAATGGCAAATTCTAGTGACACTTTTATCAATCCGCCGGTTTCTATTTTTCTTCCAAACCGCACCAACCCGCACCGCTATTAAATCATGTTTTATAAGATTCTAAAAATTCTTTTTTACTTAAGTTTGCTTGTTGTTCTATACCTTAGAATATAGTATTACATTACTGCTCGAGAGGAATTCAATGTCAGTAATCCAAAATAAAGTTGGATTCCAATTCACTTTTCAATCTTTTTTCTTTTTTCTGGCCATGTTGCAAACTTGCATCAGCTCACTTTTCAATCTAAATACTTTTTAACAGTAAACATTTTTAATATATTGTAAACCCTGAATGATATTAATTTTATGTATTGTATTTGATCATTGTAGCTTCCACAGATGCTTGTAATGAATTGATGGCATAGTCGTTGATATTATCATGTTGTTGCTACACTTGCTGCATCAGAAGAAAGCTTCACAAGATGCTTAACATCACGGTATCTCTTGTCTTTTTCTTACTCTTTGATTTAAGTTTTGTAATTTGAATTATATTTTTTATAAACCGCCAATCCGCTCGAACCGCCAAGGCAAATCTGCCATTATTTGCCAACCGAACCGCCGATTTTTTTATAAGGAAAATGGCAAATTCTAGTGACACTTTTATCAATCCGCCACCCGCTATACGGTTTCTATTTTTCTCTCAAACCGCACCGACCCGCACCGCGCACACCCCTAGTAACTAGTTAGGAAAGTGAGAATAGTAAACACCTAAAAATAAAGGAATATATAAATAGGAATTTGCTCTATGATCATAGATTTAAGTACCCATCATTTGTGGTTGAAAAGCAACACTGGTAGAGCTTGTGCACACTATTTTTTATTTTTTTATTTCTTTGCATATATCACTAAAATGTAAAAACTTATAATTAATGAATTTTTTGCTATAGTTTTTATAAATTGTCACTATGACTTATAAATAGTGACATTTTTCTGTGACGAATTTTTTAAATTGTCGTTGAAAATTAAAAATTAGTGATATTTTTTGTGACGATTTTTTTCAACCGTCGCTAAAACTTATAATTAGTGATATTTTTATGATAAAATTTTTAAATTGTCGCAAAAAATAAAAATTTAGTGACTTTTTTTAATAGTGTTTAATGAAAAATGTCATTAATTCTATCTACACGTAAGTCCCTAAGAGCAAAAAAATGTTAAAAAAATACTTTTTGACCCGCATCACATTTAATTTATATTTACAACATATAATTTATTTTCGGGATATTTTTAAGCAGTATATGGCTTTTGGGTAAGTTTCCCACCTCCGATCAACAAAGTAATTGAAGTCTCAAGCTTTGATTAATTACAAATTAGGTATCTCTTTACAAGAAAACTATTAGATACATCCATAGTATTATTTGTCATTATCCAAGTGATTATTTTCTCCTAATGAAAAATTGTAACATATTTTTAAGTAGGTTATTTTTTTATGAGACCCACCATGCCACAATTGTGGACAAGACTATTTAGTTGGGTCTATGACACCCACCACGGGCCGATTTTAGTAATTTAATTTGTTTATTTTGTAAGCCCCTATGCGTATATTGTTCATGGAAAAAATCAAATGAATCCCACAACAAAAATGTTAAAGACTCCAAATGAATTATTAAGCACTTTACGCAATATTCACATGGGCATGAGTCTCAGGTGGTGAGACAATACCCATGTGAGTATTGTGTAAAATATTTAGTAATTTAGTTGGGATTCCTAACATTACTCATCTGATAATTGTAATTATATTATTTTGCTATATTTGTTTTTAAAAAATAGACAATTTAATTTCAAAATCA